AAGTTATGTTAAGTTTATGCCATATCAATGACTATATGACATTTCAATTATTGGATGACTCTTTCCTCCAGCAATTACCTAGGCCAGTAAGACATATGCCTGTATGAGTGAGATAGATCACATACCAAAGCAAATATTCAGAATTAAATTATATTCTGTTAATTATCACCTTGCAAAGCTTTGGGACATGTTGACAACCCCAAAATATGAGGAATTAATTAATTATTTTATATTTCTCAACATATTTTATATCAATGTTCAACACTCTTTGGAATTAAAAAATTCATGCAAGATTAAAACCTACCTGAAAACTATCATAAATAAAAATAATAGAAATACAGAAGGGCAAGATGAAGCTTTCTAAATTACTAAGATAACTCACAAAAAGGTAAGATTACTAATCAGTATCTTGCAATGAAGTTATACTATTCTGTATCTCAGGGTCACTTTACACTAGTCTACTGCTCTTACTATCAATAATTACAAGAATTAATAATATGAGAGGCATGACCATGCAGCTTTTAAACTATGCACTTTCAATTAATACATATATCAACCTATGTATATGCATACAGATACATAAAAATTAAGATCTGTAATTCACATCCCACTATCTCTCTTCTCACCTATAATTCTGTCATACCTTTAGCTGCCTACTCTATCTCTAAGCTGGAACAGCCTCCTTCTACAGATGACAGACTTCAGAGGTGGTCCATGAACTTCCCATGGACACCTAGCTCATAGTGAGATTAGTTAAGCTCTGAAAGCAGCTCATACTCCTTTTTAAATATAGATAGAGACCAGACCACTATCTTAACTTGGATGTCACAGTACCAAGACAGCAAAAGATAAATTAGCTGAATCCCACCCAGGCCTTTTCCCAAGCTGTGTACCAGCATCAGTGTTTGTATCTAGAGGAGGAAAAGAGAAAATTAGCATTACATTATTATCAGTTTGCTATGGTTCACACATGTAATGGATCCTCTCCTATCTGGATTTTATCAGACTACTCCAATACCTGACAGATCAGCAGGCTACCCACCACACCGGAGAAATTGGGAAAGTATTTATCACTAAAAGGCTTCAGCTGAGCTCCTCTTCCAACCTATCTAAATGCAAGCTATGTGAAACACATTTAAAAGATAAAGCAAAAAGGAAAACCATACATTTTAGAGATTGAAACACGATTGTATCCTCAAAGCACTGTCTCAGCTACAGATAAGCTCAAGTAGCAATAAGTTTCAAAAGAAACAGCCCACACAATTTCAGTAGACGATATAGATCACACACCTTTTAATATATCTGCAATTGGATCCTACTTCCAACAGAGATGGAGAAACTAAGACACAGCAAAACTCTTCTACAATGAAATGTAAATCAGCAACAGTTAGCTTTATATTCTGTAGGGTTATTCCATGACTCCTGGTTTCCCCACACTGTGGGCAGTGAAATGGGCACCTGGAGATAGTCAGCAGCAGTTCTACATTTACCATCGAACTGCACATCCACGTGCATTTGTGAGAGCAAGGCAGAGAATGTGCTTTGGGGTTCCACAACCACAGAGTACAGAGATGGAAACACAACTGCTTGTCAGTGCTGTGACTAGCCAGAGAGAAGATGGGAATTGCACTGGAAGATGTAATGATGAGAGGCAAATCCAAAAGGGGAAAAAACCCCAAAGCCAAAACAAACCACAACAATGACGAAAGACTTGGAAGGCATTGATAACATTCCATGTGGCAGCTAGCAAAGGAGGATTAACTGTGACAGAACAAAGAAATGTGTTTATGCATCAGGCAATAAGCTTTGCAAGAAACTATCTGTTGGGAAACACTAAGACTAGTAAAACCCAGAAAACATATACAGATTTTACTTGCATTTACATTTAAGTTCAGAGAAGAGGAGAATGGAAGCAGGACCAGACGACAATTTAGTGTGAAACCTGTCTGCCACAAAATAAGGCTTTAATAGGACAGGGCTACACCCTTTTCAGTAGTGGACCCTTATCTGGACCACGAAGATTGCCAAACATCCTGTGACAGTTTAGGAGCTTTCAGGATTTGGAGGGGATTGGAGTGAGTAGGAGGACACCTGAGGTTTGCAGGCAAGTTGCTGCCTCCAATAAGATTATATTAAGGCCATGTCTAGAGCCAGGTAGTTCTTTTCCATGTATTTTCAGATGCATGCTTTTCCTTCATGCACACATCTTGAATTTCAACTACATATTTTCAGACATGCCAGACACAATTTTGTCCCACATATCTGACACAGTCTTGCAAACACTGTCCCAGCTGTGTCTTCTATCAACTTACTGTTCTTTTCTGACACTCTCTAATTCCCTTATGTTGCATCAAATGCAAACTATTTATCTTTGCTTTTCATGGCACATTTCCAACCTCTTTACCTGTCACGACTCTGACATTTGCCTTGTCAAAAATGTCAAACTCCTCTGGCCATAGCCTTATATTTTTCAAACAAGCACATTATTGCTTTCTCCCATGTCACTAAGAACTCCATTTCTTCCTCTTTTTAATCTCTACCTTATGACTATTTTGCTATAAGAAAGCCTAGAAATAATTATGCACCTGGTAGAGTGAAAGTGCCACCTGTAATGCTGATGAAGCCTTTCCAGCATTCCATCACCTGTGCCAGCATGTTTTCATACCCTCAGAAACTTAACTGCAATCTCTTTGGAGAAGAGATAGTATGTATTGTTAGCTGTTAGCAGGATCCTGCGTGGTCTGTGAATATTTGGAACTAAAAATAAGACTGCTTATATACTAACCATAAAATGTATTTCAATGCTTCATATTTGATGACAGCAAGTTAGGAGCAATTTGTCTCAAGATCTCAGTTTTTAAAATTGTAAGATCTCCCAGTCTGAGTTGGCAAGACACAAACCAATTAAATCTGGCTTGCAGATGCATGCCATGCAGTTCTTACAAAAAACATGACAAAGAATGGGTCCTTTTATTGTTTTCAACCAGTGGCACCCACGTTTTACCATACCAAAATGAGGTAAAACCTATGGTGATGTAACTCAGACCAGGCAACACTGAAATAATTATGACTGTTTTGCTTGCAGCAGATTGCCAGCTAAATCTTTCCCTTGCTGCTGCATGGATTTGGGTCTGAAGGGCAGTTTAATAGAAGAAATAGCCTCTCTAAAGTGGTATAAGTTCAATTTCAGGCCTGTCAACATCAGTGTTCTAGAAAAATAAAAACCTCTTGAGGTAATGTTTCAAACCACACAAAATTAAATGTTTTACTTTGATAGTACTACACTGAATTACATGATTGGAGAGTTTCCTATACATTAAGGATATTCTGGAGTTATGCTGTGATCAAATCTGTGCCTTTCATTCACCTGCTGAAAGGTATTCCTGCACATGAACCACTATCAGCTGAAAGTGATAACATCTCTTGTTCTGCAAGTTTCGTATCACCCGTCGGTTTTGCCCACCAGCTTTGAGTTGGTTTCACTGCATATTTCAAATAGATGAATGGATTTCTCCAGACTAATGTTGCTGTTTATCAGCACTGCTTGGCTCACAGGGTAGCTGGCTCCACAATCTAGCTGGAATCAAATTAGCTGTTGATAAATCAGTTGTAAGCAAGCTGAGCAGCTGAATAGCTGTACATCACAGGTGTGCACAGCTTAACACAAGAGCTCCCTGAGACACTTTTCAGAGCAGTTTCACATCAGTGAACCTTAAATAACTGCAACTATGTATGTGTCTTTGAAGGGCAGACAAGAGTTGACAGAAGCAGGAGGCTTCACTAGCTCCATGGAAGTGTCTGTGGGGAAAACTAGTCATGAACCAGCTCCCTGTGGTATGAGATGGTCTCCTTTGGACAGAAGCCACACTGAGCTGGCACCAACACAGTGAGCCTCAGGCCCCAAGCTAATATGACAGCACAGATGTAGCCCAGAGCTGTGTCCCTAATCACCTTTGACAGTCAATAGTGACAGTTCTCTTCCTTCCCCAAGGAGCCCCTTCCTTCTCACCACCTGATTTGGCCACCTAGTTCTGTACCAGTCATCAGCTGGTGTAAACACTCTGCTATGGCCTTATGAGCTTTGAAGAGTTTTTTTTGGAACAACAGAAGCAATGGACAGAAAGTAAGCCCTCTTTTTAAAACTATAGAGTCAGCCTTTTCCTTCCCTCTCTTCATCTGGCTTGGCATGATTTCCACACAAAACCCTTGGCTTCCTTTGTTCTCACAATGTAGAGCTCAGGTGACAAATTATGAACAGATTCCTCAACAGAATCTCTTGTCAGCTGCATACCCCACAAATGCTTTCACTGTTAACTAGCAAACCATTAAAGTCTCCAAAATGACAGAATGGTTGCCAATATTCTCAGCTTCAAACCACTAAGTACCTTTTCTTCTCTTTGGCTTTTTAGTTAAACAGGGGTAAAAAAAAATCCATCTCACCAATGCCATCCTATCTGCGGTCCAAGTGCTCATCAAGCATCCAGAGTGGTTACAGTTGTATTCCTGGAATTGTTATTCTTACTCAGTTTTTTTTCCTCTTTATTTCCTTTGTCAGAACTGGGAATTTACCTTCATTTTCTATTTTTTCCTTTTAGTCAGCTGTAAGAAGAGGCTTTATTGTGGCTTTTCCTTTCTCTATTTTTTACCAGAATTCACAGCATTTTGTGTCTCTACTGTTTGATGGGTGTTTTTTAACCTTTAAAACACCTTAATATTCTTTTTGCTGTGGATTTCAGTAGCTGAATGTTTCTGTATTCTTGTTAATAGTAGAAGCCCAAAAAATAGTTCAGCAAAATTTCAAAATCATAAACTGTCAGAAACTGGGTTCTTGCTACATGGACTTTCATACGATCTAAAAACAAAGCCCAGCGTGGTAAAATTGACTTAAAGCACCAAACACAGATTAAAATCAGCAAGGCAAATTCTACTAAATGTCTAATGAGCACTGTAATTATGATAAGGAAGCAAAACAAGTGAAAACTGAACGTGGGTTTACTTACAGTTGTGACAGGTGGCTCCCATGTAGCCTGTATTGTTACAGTCACAGTAAAAGGTGTTCCAGGACTGGGAGCATTTTCCTCCATGTTCACAGTAGTTGGGTAAACATCTAAATAGGGATATTAAAAATGCAATTAATTATAAATATTTCTGCAAAAATAATGTGCTGGGGGAAAAAAAAATCAAAACCAACAGAACTGTCTCAACTCCTTATTCAGGCAAGAGTTTCCTAGGGCTGAAATCGCTGTGTAATGAAAGAATTATTTCTTTCTCTGTGATTCACATCCAAGCACTGAAGAAAACAACATTTAAGCAATCCAGAAGATAAGCAAATATCACTCTAAATAAAAAAACATACCACTTGTTAGCAATTAAAGTGTCATGAACTTTCTGACCACAGAGCAAGACAAGTAGCAGGTGAAAATGCTATTGAAATCTTGTTCAAAGGAGAATCCCGTGTTCTCTGATTGAACAGGCACAACTGTTATCAAAATTACGCTAAGTTACATTTGTGGTAACACTAACAGCATGCAAATCTCTAAAGTGAGAGGAAAAATATGCTTCAATTATGAGTTCTGTACTCTCTTCCTCATTTTGGTTGGTGTGCCTCTAAAGTATTATTGTGAAACAAATTATTAAAAGAAGAAAGAGGCACAACAGCATGCAGCTTAGGAAATGAACAGAAATAAAAGCTGTGGGAGATAAATTCAATCTCCAGGACAAGAAGTGAATGCTGATCTGAACTCCCCTGGTATAAATGTAGGCAGTGCAATGGAGTTACACCAGCTTAAATGGAAACAGATTGTTCTCTTATTTGCCTTTTTTTCTTCTTTTTTTTTTCCCTCTTACTGTATATTAATCTCTTTTACACAGTATGTCTGACTTCTGAAAAATAAGTAACTTGTTTATACTGCTGATTCAATTGTGATGGGTGGGTGGAGAGGAAACAGGCAATCAATTTATCCTTTACACTACAGAACTCCATTAGGATTTGCTCTGCTGTAATTTGAGCCTCAAAACTCTTTCAGTGCCCAGATCTTTCCAGGGTGTTAGTGCAAAATCACTGGTGCTACCTTGATTTTTTTCTAGCTGAAGATGTGGTTTTATTGCAGTTCATCTTACCCTTAGGAAATTTTTTTGCATTCAAGTATGTATATTGCCCTTAGCAGTGGCTTTCAATCTGTTTCTTCTAAATTACTTACAATTAAAACCCATTCCATGCAAGCAAGCAGAAAACCTGTATGTCACTAACAGCCATCTTCACCAGCCTTCTGAGCCTCATCAGCCAAATTTTCATCAATTTACTTGAGTCCAAGGCTGTTTGGAGCTGCCAAACCTTGACAAGCCAAAGGAACCTGTTCATGTGTCCAGAGGCCTGTCAGAACAACCTCTTGTCCTCAATATGCTCCGTGCTCATTCATGCAAACTTACATCTATTCATCTCTATCAGTGAGTCTAAGATTCATTCCAGAACACAGGTTCACTGGATCACTATTTATACTATAAGATTATAAAGGCCATATTAAAATATTAACATGAAAGATTATTTTTATTAATGCTTGCTCAATTACTGCAGCAATTACGTATTATCCAAATACGAGAGAAATAAGGAATTCAAGAAGAACGTATGTTATTTATAACTATCTGCAACATCTTTTAAAACATTTCTAAGATATATTGGTCTTATAAAAATTATTGTCATGACTTGTATTAATCATTGAGCTCAAATGCAAAATGAGGAGAGAGGATGAGAATTACATTCCTAGTTTTCTAGTTTTCCAGGAAGCTATTTCCACTGCTATCCTGTTTCTAAAACAAGAAAGAAACAAAGGAGAAGGTCAAAACCTCTGGGTTTGCCCTACCCTTATAAGGCAGGAATTCTGAGAAGGGATGAGATTTTGGCTTTTAACGGGCAATCATCTATCAGTCCAACAGCCTGCTGGTACAATGAGAGCCCCGCCAGCCCCTCTGCCATCACACATACTCCTGGCAATACTGACATGAGATTTAAAGCTCTGGGTCGATGCTGAAGAGAGCAGGAGCAGCCTTCTGGGATGGTTCTGTGTGGTGTGCCCTGCACCCTGCTGGGCCCTGCAGGACCCTGCCAGCCACCTGAACCAGCAGCTCCCCAGCAGCTTCACCTCAGAGCCAAAGCACAGCGGTACCACAGCTCTGTGGTGGTACATGTGAGTTTCCCCTGCGAGAGCACATTTACTCATATTTGAACTTTGGTGGTCCCTGCCCTTGCCCTCAGCACACTGCCTTTAATTGCACTTAGTGATAAACATTCCTTTATGTCACCTGTACAGCAGCAGTTTTATTCACCTCACAGGGAGGCTGGTGAGAAGAAACATATGATGTTAATAGAGCTCTTTGGAGAAATAAAAAGAATAGTGCTGTGTTATTAGCATAACTTACATCATCAGTGTAATGGACAAATATGCTTTTTGCCTACTTTAAACTACCTTTTATTAATTAACCCAATGCAGTAGAGCTAATTACTAACCATTTCTGGTTTGCCAAAGGCCTGTATTAGAGGCTTAGCCACATTTATTCCCTTGAAACAGTTTCCTTTTAAAGACTTTACAAAGTTGAAGGTCACTTCTTATTTCTACTTGTCTTACAAATGCAAACACTTTTTCTTCTCCCAACAATGCACAAAATGCAAGTCAAACTAACCATGTCAGCCTTTAATGATATTCATAAATTCAGAATTAAATCTTTTTTTTATTCCTTAGTCTATTTGCTTTAATTAACACCAACTGCATTGATCTTGTTTTTGGTCAGATAACTAACCCTTCTAAGAGCTTATGAAAAAAATTTCTTTGCAACTCTAATAATTACCATAATCCCATTTTAGCTGAGCAGTTGTGTCTTTAATAGAAGCAAAATTTTTCCTAATTGTGAGAGAGCTCAAAATTAAGAAATAGCTACAATTAAAATTAATCAAGGCATGGATAAATCGCAGATTGTTGCATTTGTGAACTGTCCTAGATCTTATGTTGAAGGATTTAAACACACGTAATTTGAAATATAAATGAATATTTGCATTCTAGTAGAAATAAACACTTTCAGAAAAAAAATGCAGTGGTATCACAGAACATTTCATGGACAAAAATTTGCATCAGGCAGACCCTGACCTATTTGCAATTGAAACGAACAAACAGCTCAACTCAATTTTGCAAGCAACGTAAATTAGACACTTGAAAATTTATGAATTTGCCTAAGAAAGCTTCTGACAGACCAGGGACTCTGATCTTCCCCATTTATTCGTATAATATATATCACAGTGAAAAATTATTATTTAAAAAAAATAACTGAAGCAAATAAATTTTTCCCTCATTGAGCCAAGCTGGAAAATGCACAATTTAGCCATCTAAGTGAGCAATATGCACAGCCTGCACAAAAGCCTTCACTGTCCTTGGATGAAACATTCACCTCCAAAACTGTAGGTGTGCTTCCTATGAAATCAAAGGACAAACTGCACAGACATTAGGGGGGAGAAATCTGGGCCTTTGATGGGAATGATGAAGAAATAACAATGGCAAAATTACTTGAGTGGGAAGGCTGAAGGAGCTCTATACATTTGATGTTACACTTGACTGGAAATAAACCCAGTGTACTTTCAATAAGCACCTCTGAGATTTTGTTATAGTCAGCACAATACATTCAGCACTACCCTCAATTGCTCCCAAGTAAAGAGGAAGGAAAGGGAACCATCACAGAGAGAAAGAAAAAAAGAACACACCCTTAAATATCAAGACTGTATATATATATATATATTTTTTAGATGAGCACTGAGTCCCTAAAACTCAGTAATACTGTAACAAAAAAAGCACATGAAATTCTGGAAGACTGTCTATCAATAATGAATTGTTTTAAATATAGTATCAAATTCATTTTATTTCAGCATGTTTTCCTGTTTACAGCCAGCAGCTATTTAATTCATAATTAACAAAATTTAGAATTAAAAGAGATGACTTCATATAGTGGGAATATATGTCTGATGAAACTCATGGTGATGCTGTAACAGACTATATTTTGCTTTAGTGAAATGGTGTCTTTCCACTAAACTCAATAGATTGAGGCCAATTGCAACAACATGGATTTCAGCCCTGCTGTGCTGAGCCGTAAATCTGGGAAACTCCTTGCTAAAGGTTATTTTTGATGCAAGAAATGGCTTCAAGGGGAGACCAGACAATTACTTTGAAGAGAAATTTAGCAATGGTACCAGACAGACAATGTGTAACAACTTCAGAGCTTTACCAAGAGGAAAACTAATGAAGAACTTAGAGCATCAGAAAAAATATTGCAAAAGCACATCCCACTCTTATTTTGCCCTGGATGTTCTTTTGTGGTAAAATGGTGGGCTAGGTGTCCTTAAGTAAAGGAAGAAAAAAGAGCTACCAGAACCAGAGGAAGAGAGAAAAAATGTCTAAGAGCAAATATTACAGTGACCTGCAAAAGTATTAACACTCTTCAGACCTCTGGTTTTCCTCAGCAGACATTTCCTCCTCATCACCACACATGCCAAATTCTCCTTCCTCTTTCAACTTTAGAAAACTGACCAACAATTTACGAAAATGTCTTGTGGCATTCTTTATTTTTTAAGTCATCTATGTTTTCTTTCCTAAATTTATTATGTTATGAAAACACATGGAGTACAAAGAGTACGAATAACATGAACAGACTATTCCTGTTTTCCATGATGCAAATCAGCTAGTCTATCCCATTGAATTGATGCAAAAAACAAACAAAACAAAACAAAAAACTCCTCAATAGTTTACAACAAATGTAGGTTTTTCTTCTTTGCGAGATTTGCAACACTTGATGACAGAACTTTTAAAATATATTATTGTTTGCACTGTTAGTCAGCTTGGTTCTCACCCTGCACTTGCATACCACTGTGAGATCAGCATTTAAAAGATCTGAACACTGATGCCAACAGCCCTTGGGCATGTGAGTAGCACTGAACTGTGGAAGAGGTTGTGCTGGGACTGACACTAGTGAAGGAAAAGCCTGTTATCTGTGCCTTAGATAAAAGGCATTTTTTTAAGGTTTGATTGCTTTGTTGTTAGAACACCTACATTTTTAATATAGGTAAATGTG